CGTTTTCAACTTAGGAATCAGGATCATAAATTAATATAGACAACGATGAGAGAGAATTTGGGTACCAAAACAGACGGTGCACTCCTATTTCCTACTAGGACTTTGATCAGTTTGACGCCTACTTGCGCGAAGCAAATTTCCTTGAAAATGCCGTGATTTTTCACTTTAAAAACAATTGCTGCTGCAGGTTCTGTACTTGTAAAAAGTCGACGGTGCAAGAATAATAAGTCATTGGAGGAATAATATACTGTTTTATATCTGAAGAGTTGATACGCCAGTTCAATTTTGGTGACAACGAGAAAAATATTTTCCGTGAAACGCGTACCCACAATGTGTTTGAAGGTAGCCCTAAACCTAACCGAAAGATTCTTACAGGTTTCCATTAATGAAACACCACAATAGAGCATAAAGTGACGGAATGCGTTAGTACGTTAAGAACTGCCTTCAAAATTGCCAGCAACGCCGTCGTGAATAGGCGAAACCGAGAGGGAAATACTTGAGTCTGTCCTTATTCATTTATTAATAAAAACTATGCTCATCTGGCTCCCATAATCTTGCACGATAGACTGTGCAACGGGAATAGCAAGTGCGATTTACGTTTTATGATGAATGCGTTTAACCCGAGCTGACGAAATTCTTTTCGGACGAGCATCAGCATGGTGCTAATAAACGACCATAATGTAGGCGGAGGCATTCTGACACACAGCTAACATATAAATGACGGCATAATGCTGGCATTTGGTACACCACTTTGCCAACATATTGCTATTAGGTGTGCCTATTACGGTTTTCGGTCTAGCTTCTTCAGCGTGCGGCTCTTATAGCTTTGAATACAAAGGACATAGACCTGGGGATAGGCTGCACATACCTGGACTTGCTTACTGCGGGGATCACTTGAGAAAGAATAATCAAATGGCTATTTTGTCAAACATAGATATACTGCTGAAATGCAACCCCCCCCGCCGCCGATGGGCAAAGTCCCTGAGAATATCCACTTTCCGTTGCTTCGCATCAGGTTAGCCAAAAAATCACCTTCGAAGTTGAGTCAGTAAGACTCACATGATTAAATGGTCTCAAAACAGTCGATCAATCAGATAGCGAAACGCAACATAGCCTGATAATTTTAGGCTAGCCTGGTGCAAAGCCATGGGAAATGATGCTACATGGGGTACGCATCGTTTCTGTCATCAAGATAACCGCACAATTTTTGAACCCTTCTCTGAACAGGCTGTGCTCTACTACAAATGAAACCCAGGTCAGCTGTCCTTTACAACCACTAGAGAGGCTGCAGCGAGAGAGATTCAGAAACTTCTGCAGTTAGGTTAGTTAACTGATCCTGCTGCGTATATGGGTTTGTGTTTGGTAGGAACAAATCGAGGAAAGAAAACCGACTGCAACTTTGGTCAAGAAAGACTGAAGTAGATGAGGGAAACTAATGAAAAACCAACAACATAAAACAGCGAAAACCGAAGAGGCCCCACCAGAAGTGTGACGACCTACAAGAATATGGTCAGTAGGCAACACACATACGTACTAT